GAGTTTATAGGGGAACAGCTCTCTGATATGAGAAATAAGTACCCATGTGGGAGGAGATTCTTGGGGGCAAATCGAGTAAGGGGCACCGGCACTAGTCACTCCTAGATTTTTCTCTCTTCTTGACTTTAGGGAGCAGGCAATGTCTTCAGTGGGATTCTGTGTTATAAATTCAGTGAAGAGAGGCTACCCCCTAGAGGATGCAACCCACATAGCACTGCGTAAGTAATGCATGAAAGGTCAGTGTGTCTGAACGGGCACCTTATAGAGCCCAGAGCTGTTTAGATTGGATGTAAACAGCAGCAGAGTGGAGGTGTGGGGAAAGCAGGGGCAGGTGAGTGTGTGATTGCGAGACGAGCAGAATAGGGAGCAGGCAGCTTGAGCCTTGCCCCTTACCTCTAAGTGCCTGTGTCCTATGGTGTCTCCCTGCTTCCGCTGCTGTCGTTAGCAGATCTGCATGAAGGGAAAGCCCCAGAATTGCTCTTGACCCACCCTTCCCTGCTCTGTCGGGATCCCATCTTGGACAGGGACAACATCAGTGATGTTCAGGTTCCTCTTTCCAGCACCTGCTCCCAGCCAGTGAGGGAGACTGGTGTGGGGGGAGAGGGAAGGGAGAAACCAGGCAGAGAACAGGCGCTGGAAGGAGGAATCTGCACACCTTTGATCCTGCCCCTGGCTGAGCAGACACCCAGCACAGCCACTCCCAGCAGCTCCCAGCTGGAGCACTCTGATACTCAGTTCTAAGACGAAGCTTTGCTTTCCTCATGTTAAGCAGGGAAAAAACCTTGTCTTGGAATCTAGTAAATGTGGTGGGTATGTTTTCATGTTATACTCTGTGTCCAAGCAGTGTGAAGTGGTCTGATGTTTTTGTGGTGAAGACTAGACCAAAACCATTACAAAGTCATTTTATATATTTCCTACTTTCTTTAAGACCCGTTTAAAAAGCTGACAGTAAGCAGACTTTGTCATCTTAACTGAAAAAGCAACCTTTATTTCCAGTGACTGTGTTTCTTTTGCAAATTGCATTTGTCTGATTCTTCCATCCCAGGTAACTAGCTCTCCGGTGTGCATGGATATGAATGGAATGTCTGTCCCTACAGAGTTTTTGTCCAGACACAACTCTGATGGAATAATCACGTTTGTTGATCCAAGATGTATTAGTGTGATAGGCTACCAGCCGCAGGTCAGTTCATCGTTTTAAATTGAGAGCTTTGTTAGAACTAATTGATGAGATTCTGTTTGCAACTACAGTATGAAGTAACTTTCAGAAGATGCAGCATTTTCATTGAGAAGCAGTAGTCTGTTGCACTATTCCTCAACGTGCTGTTATTTGAAACTTCACCTTTTTCTCCATGCTGTTCACACATATTTACAATTAAGAGGTCATTATTAAAAAGGATACCACTATATTCTTTTTGGATCTTTTGTCTTCCTACCCCCACTGCCCCCTTCTGAGCTAATCTGAATGCTTTGAAATTAAGGTTTTCCTTCAAAAGCAGTATAATTTTTGCTTTTGAGTCACTGTTATTTTTGTAGATTTTCAACATTTATAACAACTTATTCAATGATAAGCAGACTGGATTTCTGAAGCACGTTTTCCTTTAGGCTTATGCCTGCTTCTTTGAATAAAGATTAGGTTAGTATAATGCACAAATGAGCTTGTAACCGTGACGACTCTCTCACAGATAACAGCGTTTTATCTTTTAATCCGAAAGAGAACTACAGTGTCCCTATCTAAATGACTACATTTCATAGGGAGACAACTTGTCCTTGGTTGCTCATTTTACTTCCCCTTTTGTACCAACTTCAGGTAGGTTTTGCTGTAGGTTCTTCAAGCACAACCATATAATAACATGAACTAAAATGGATTAATAGGAGATATCCATTCTCCTCAGTCCTGTTGCTCTGACACTGTTCACAATCATTAAAATGCACATAAAATAACTATGGAAACTATGCATTTCTTTGCCATAATGTAAATGCAGTGCAGGACACAACCCCCTACTAATTCTTCTTCATGTTAATCATAGCTACATATGTGATTGGAGGTCAGTAGTATAACTAAGAATTAGGGAGATGGGGCACAAAAATAGCAGCTGCCGGCTGTCCCAGGTGCTACTGCTGCCTATGGCACAGAGCTGCCCTGTTCTACCTCTTCTGGAGGTAATGCAATTACTTGCATGAACTAAAGGCTTATAGGGTGAGTCTGTAGGTTTGTGTGTTTACAGTGTTCCATTGTGTTTTGTTAGGATCTTCTGGGGAAAGACATATTAGAATTCTGCCATCCGGAAGATCAAAGCCATTTGAGAGAGAGTTTCCAGCAGGTACTGGACTACAGATTTTCCATTTCTGTATTATAGTAGAATCTAGTATTCATTTCTCATTTTCAAGTGTTTGCTCTGAAATCCAGGAAAGATGGGGGCAATTCCTAGTAATTACAATTAAGCTACAGTAGAAACAAACCTTCAGTTTGCTGAATTTTCAGAAAAGTCACTACATTTACTTTTGTTCCCTTTGTTATATACTAAATAAATATTCAGTTCTCATTTAGGGTCATTTTGCTTCCAGATATGCCAGCATAGAGCACTACACTCAATAGAAGCCACAAGTGCTTACGTTCCATGAATGTGGGTTGTTGAGTTGAAACTAGCTCCGTTTTCATGTTTGTAAAACCAGATATTTTAAAGAGAAAAGTACTAACCTAGCAAATCAAAAACATGCATGTGGGGGATGCACAGATACGGAGTGGAATGTTCAGGCACATTCACCGTTGGCCACACTATGTTCTCATTAAAGTCAGTGGAAACAAATGGAGGCCAGTGCTGAGTGATTTTGGAATTCCACCTGTCCGTATCCCATGGTATGAATTCTCTGCTGCTGTAAACTGACATAAATTTAATGGAGCTGTGCCAGTTTATGCCAAGAGAGAATTTGATATCTGTACATCTTTGTAAGGTCTGTTAAAGAATTGAAATATAGAATTAAGTGGGAAAAAAAGTAAAAACAGTGAAAACATTTGGAAGTGATTATCAGATTGGATTCAGTTTAGCAATGGGCCACAATTACCTCAGATATATTAAAAGAATTTAAGCCATTGTAAAACTTATTGTTTCAGATTAGTCTGGGACTTACAGTAGGAATATTTTTGGCTAGCGGTTCTGTTGTTACCATTCTTTTTAGCTGACTTTCTTTCCGTATTTAGCAGTGCGGCATACTATATTTCTCCAGATTTGAACTCTAAATCATGTTCCTGTTTTTCTTTGTTGTTATGTCTTGTGTTGAATGGTGAGGTGTCTTTTATGATGTAAAACATCTTTTACTTTATCCAGTAATAAAGCTGAGCATATGTATAGCCAGTTACCAACTCAAAGCCACTGAAGTTCATGGGTAGAGTCCAGCTGATTTCATTGGGAGGCTGCAAAGGGCCCAGTGCTGCATCACAGATGCCAATGGAAACTTTGCTGTGGATTCCTTGGAATACTTGTGTACTCTAAATTTAGACATGCATTTTAAGTGTGTTGCTGATTCAAGTCCTTAAAGCTAGGTACAGCAATTCAAAAAGCCCAAGGTTAAATCAGTTCAGTCTTCGCAGGTTAGTCTAAACTGCACAGATTGAATTAAAACAGAAGTGAACAGACATTTACCTTTTGATTCAGGAAATGCAGCCACATGCCTGAAGTGGCTCAGACCAGAAGCTGGGGGTGTTAGAGCATGGCTCTCTGGTTGTGTGTTCACGTCCTCTTCCTGCTGGCCCTGAGGCCTCTGGGATTTGGAGTCCACAATCACATCAGCAGGACTCTGCAGGGTTACCAATCACTACCTCTTCCTGCTTCTAGGTGCCACTGGGATTTGTAGTTCATAGTCACAGCCAGCAGGAAGTTTGAGTGGGGGGAGGGGTGTTTAACCCCCTCCCTGGCTGCCGACCCCAGCTGGGGTTTGTTGGGGTGGGGGGGCAGTTCGCACCCCCTGCAGACTGAACTGCATCCCCCTTCCCCCCGCCCCTTGTCAGCCAGGCTTCACTGCTCCAGCTCCAGGGAGCAGAGGGGCAGGGCCAGCTGTTCTCTCTGGAGCAGACAGCCCAGCCCAGCCTAGGGCTAGAAAGCATGTTGGGATGCTGGGGGACTGTGATTTAACTTGAAACAGGAAGGGATCTGGGACAGAAGTTTCATAAACTGGTTTGATCCAAGTCAGTTAAGTCTAATACTACATTCATCCAGGTTTATTTTAAACCAGTTTCAGACTTTTTGAAACTGGTTTATGTGCACTGAGCTTCTATTCTGTTACAAGTTTAAACCTGTTTCGGATCACTTAAACTGGTTTATGTGTAACTTCTGTCCTTAGCCTAAGTGACTGTGCAAGGTCACATGGAAAGCCAGTTAATGAGGCAGAGATTAAAGTGAGGTTTTTTAGGCTCCTGGTCCCATGTTCAAAGCATTAAACCATTTTTTCTGTGTCTTTCGTCAGTAATTTTCCTCCTTTGTTTCTTTTTAATACAGTAGCTATGTGATCAAAGTGGCTACCTCAGTTAAAGAGTAAGAGACTGAGCTAAACAATTTAGCCGAGCACTAGGCAGTTTGTATTTCCAAAGAATATTGAAAAGAGAAATTAGAACTTGAGCCTTTTCAGTCATGTTGTTGCCCTGTTTGTGTTCACTGTTTTACATCAGTTCAGGTTTTTCCCACCAAACACACACCTGCTTTATGTATTGTTTTAAAGCCAAAGTTTGCTTAATTTGGTTTTCAGTGCATTAGATCACTACAGTTTGTTTTGTAATGGGTATTTTGACCTTAATTTTTTTTTATTAAAATGGTAACTGTTATTTCCAGTTATCCTTTTCTTTTTAGCCCCCTGAAAAGTTGACATTTTAAAATTGCTGACTCTGTCAGAATCAGGTTGGTGTATAACAGGGAGGGATTTGCCGCTGTTGGTTGATTGCCAGTATCCATCTCAGAGTCTTTACTTCCTTGAGAAGATAAATTCATTCATCAGGGTGGGAAAATCAAGCCAGAACGACATGTTCTCAAAGCCAAGAACAACAAATAGGGTTCAGTATCAAAGGTTTCAGAAGACGGCTATCTAATATCCACTAGGATACTGTTCAGATGGACACTGACAAAAGTTCTGTATTCTTTACGCTGGGTGTGGTGGCAAAGAAATGTTGATAAAAGGATATGGTTTATGGAGCTGAAACAAAAGCGTTTATTTTACATGAAACATTTACCCTTGGTGTCCTGATGAAAGCTAGCAGGTGCTAACTCAAGCTTTTTGTGTTTGCTTCATATGGTATCTTTGTAACCATGTTGGTCAATTTGTGATATTACACTTAAAACAAATTGGGTTAGAGCCATTCCCAAACCCAGCTGCACACGGCGAGCACCAAGTTTTTGCTAGAATGACTCCTTTCAGAAAAGTTTGACTGCAGACAGCTAATAAAAACAAGTCCTAATGGATCAATGGGATGTTGTACTTATGTGCATAAAATCTCCTCTTTTACTCCCAAAGACATTTGTTGACCTAATCCAGTGGAAAGCTATAGGGGGAAAAGTGCATGAGGCTGGTTGTTTCCAGCTGAATGGCTTGACCAGACTTCTAGCCATAAAACTTTTCATCTGAATCAGATCCAGATCATCAGATAATGGCAAGATCAATGTGAACACCATACGGCAGCGAGAGAAAAGGTTCCTTGAAGCTTATTTGTTGTTTATTTCTTTTTTAAAAGTCAGCTCACATTTCACATTGGAAGGCAGTTCCCAGCCACAATGCTTGGTTTCAGACCTAACCTTTTCCAGAGGTCTTAAGAATTTGCGATCTGATTGCTCATTTGGGCATAATATATTGTCCTGTCATCTTCTTTGTCGTCAAGATTTCATTTTTATTCACTGCAGAACCCTGTCCCACTCTTACGTTACATTCTTCGTTTAGATACTGACACAAAAGTCGCACTGACTTCAGTCAAACTTGTGCCACCAAGGACAGGCTTTTAGCCTTGTATTATATCAAACATTCCTGTTCTGGTATAGTTATAAACATCCCAAACAGGTTACTGTCAGCTAGAGGTTCTCTCTTGTGTACTCATTGTGACTTTGCATCCCTAAATATAGAGCTTAATGTATGATCGTTTTTTCAATGACACTCCGAATTTCTACAGTAATGAAAAATTAATTTGCAAAGCAGGGGTAGACCAGGTACTGTCCAGTTATTTGCCAAGTTTTTACCTACCCTGTTCACTGCTTTATTTCTCTCTGTTGCTTACTTGCTTCATATTTTCACCACTTCCATTAACATTTTCCTTTGTCTTTTGTTTTCTTAGTTTGTGCTTTTGTGCTGAAGGGTTTTCTTGATAAAAGCTAGCAGTGTTCTTCCAGATCTCTTCTACCATCTTTGTATTAACTTGCGCAGGTTTAAACAGCTTTGTTTCCTTGTCCAAATCATGTGTTTCTTCCTCCCGACCCCCATAACCGTTGTCTCACCTCGTTTGAGGAGTGATCTCTCTTTTTTTGTTATCATCGTTGTCATGGCTAACACTTTCCTTTCTGTGTTTGTTCATGATATCAGTGTTTAGGTTCTCTCTCTTGGGATTCCTTCAGAGCTCCAGACTGAATTTTGGAGGCTTTGTAAATTTTCTGAGACTTAAACAACGCAACTGTGTATGCCTAGTACCATTCATTTGTGAAAATAGTGCTACAATGAGAGCCTCGCTGCCTTCAGGCAGGAAGAAAAGAATAAGAACACAGGCAAGGAAAGGGTAATTTTTTTAAAGCATTTCCCATCACCAGTTAAGAGCAACCAAAAGAAAGTGAATACAGGAACAGGTCCTTACTTTGAAGTACAGAGCCAGATCCTCAGCTCAGAATAATAAGCAAAAGATAGGGGCCTAAAATGCCTTAAAGTTCACTTGATATGTGGCCCTGCTTAAAAACTGACTATGAGTTCCAGTGACCATTTGTCCAAAAGTCCCCAAAGTGCATTCTTTGCTTGGCTCAATGTTTTATTTCTGGATCCACCTGACACATGGAGGGGAGCCTGGTCACTTTTTGAGAGAGAAAATATCTTTTTGAAGAACCTTGCCTTTGTGTGGTAAGGTTGAAGATGAGGAAGGAAGATTATGTGGTCAGGGTTGACCTACAGATGAGTCTTGTTTCTTGTGCCCCAACATGTGAAAGATATTAACAGGACAAAGAAGCTTCCAACCCAGAAAATGAGTTGATTTGTCTTAACTATACAGACTTCAAAGCACATAGATGTAATGAACAGTTACTTGAGAAGCTTCTGCCCCTCAAAAACATCTAAGGAGAATGATTAAACTCCTTCATGTGTTATATAGGGAAGAAATGGAGGGGAGAGCATTTTAAGGACTGGCATGTCTATAAATGTATTGAGACAGAGGTCCTAGAGAATCAAGAATTTTGACTTTAACCAATTCTTCACCTCCATTTTCTTGAGCAGGGACCAGGACTTAGCCATTGTGATGCAAGATGGACTCGAGGGGAACACCTCCAGACCTCAGGCTGGGGAGGACCGGGTTAGAGAGCTTCTGGAGGGGCTGGACGTGTTCAAATCAGCGGGTCCAGATGCTCTCCACCCCAGGGTGTTGAGGGAGCTAGCAGGGGTTATTGCAGGGCCCTTGGCACGGCTTTACGAGCACTCGTGGTGCTTGGGCCAGGTGCCAGATGATTGGAAGATAGCAAACGTGGTCCCCATCTTTAAAAAAGGGAGAAGGGAGGACCCAGGGAAACTCTTTGAGAAGATCATCATGGAGTACATCTGCGATGGGCCGGCCTCAGAGATGATGCTGAAGGGCAACCAGCATGGTTTCATTAGGGGCAGGTCATAGATTCATAGATTAAGGGTCGGAAGGGACCTAGTAGATCTTCTAGCCCGACCCCCCGCCAGGGCGGGAGAACAACAAAAAAACCCCAAAAAGAGAAACGGGACTCAAATGAGTCCAGCCAGGTAGGCATCCAGCCTCTTCTTAAAGA